ATATAATAATAATAATAATAATAATAATAATAATAATAATAATAATAATAATAATAATAATAATAATAATAATAATATTTTTTTCTTATTTTTTGGGCCAATTTTTTTTATTCAAAGAAAGAATTAAAATAAAAAAGAAAGAATTAAAAATAAATAAAATAAATAAAGAAAATATACAAAGAAACAAAAGAAAAAAATAAAAAAGAAAATACTAATGTGGAAAAAAAAAAAAAAAAAAAAAAAGGAAGAAAAGCCCTCATACGTGAAAGACACATGAGGCCTAGGAGAGTGAGAGCCCAGGGCTTCTCCCTGGGCTCAAATGACCCCCCATCCCACCCCAGCCCCCACCCCTACTCATTAAACACCTCAGCCCCTCTCCCACCCCACCCCTCCCCTCCCCCAACACATAGGAGATGCACGTATGTTGAAGTCATACCTTGAGGACAATGAAAACCCAAGCCGAGGGCAATCTCACCGAGCACTTCCCGTGATGACCAAGTTCTTTAACAAAGTTATCGAGGAACTGCAAGGCAACAACAAGAAAAGTGATGATGGGGTGTTTCACCAAGCACCCAATATCTCATCAAATATAGAAGGAATTAATCGAGTTTGAGGCAACGTGGAAAATTAAGAAAGACTTGTGCCAAATTTCAAAATTGTTTCCACTTGTTCGAGACAACTTCGGACATCGTCGGATTTGGTGGCAAGATGTTACAGTCCACTAATTTAGGGACGAAATTAATAATTTTCAAGAGGCTAAGAATGATTCAACAAAGCAAAATCAAGTACTAAGCCCAAGAAATGGCACAATATGCCCCATTGTACATAAAACTTGTAGATATTATTAAGAGAATTCTAAATAATTACTAGAACCCTCTACATTGTAATTATGTTTTAGGAATTGAAAAGTTCTAGAGAACATCTCTCAACCATTCGATCAAGTTGACCACCATTATTCGAGGATGTGGAGTTGTATAAATAGGTGTACGGACCTCATTTATAAACCATCCAAATATTGGAAAGTATTCTAGTAATACAAGCACTTTCCTACAAGCTAACTTGTGCTCTTAACATTCCTTGTAGTTTCCATCAGTTAGCACACAATACTCTTACGAGAGTGAGGTTGACTTAGCTATCGCGAGAAGCGAAAATGAGCTAAGATCCCACAGTTCGTATTAAGGAAACTAGTTCTTTACATGCTACTCTTATATACAATGAAAGCCTAAAATCCCTCGTATTAAGGAAACAAATTCGTTACATACTACTCTTATATACAATGAAAGCCCAAAGCGAGTTATTTGATTTTAAAAAATAAAAAAATAAACAGTATAAATAAAAAATAACAAATAACATTGACAATAACAAATAACATTGACTCATTGATGAAATTGTCAAATAGTTCACGGATCATTATCAATACATTCATAAACAAATTTATGATTTTATTTTCTTTTTATTTTCCTTTAAAATCAAGCGACAATTCAGATAATTCACAATGTTACCCTTCACCTTAAAAGCTATGCTTGCTATGACTTATACGTAACAAGTCAACTTAACTAGACAGCTGAGCTGTCGAATCTCTTAGAAGGTTATGTTCTCTCTTCGTCTAATGGAGAAATTTGAGGAACTATAGCGACTCTTGGATCTAATGTCGCGGAGGTTGGCTCTGCTGGCGGATGAAAACGTGGATATATCAAACGCCTTGAATTATGTTGTTACTACCGACAATAGTGAATCGTTCTCTGTTACTTTGTAAGATCGAGTACTTGTGATGTCTTCTGAGTCAGAAGCCGAACATTGTGACCTTTTAAAGTCTCTTCAACAACTTCTACCACTTTATCAATTTTCTGAACTCCAACTATACTTACTCGTTCGAGCTCTTTCAGATTATCAAAATCCTCTGTCTTCCATTTGCTACGAGTCCGTAGAAAGAGGCAGAGAAAAGTTACTAGTGAAGAATTTTCCAGACATTCTCAATCATATCTAATTATGATTCTTATTCTAAATCTAAAGATATGAATTAGATGAAGAAACATAAGGTTCGGAGTCCTACCACTCCGAGCCCCTACTACCGGTCGCCCGCCACCCATCAAGAATATGTACTTACTGATTCTTTAACCAATATGGATTGAGAGGCCTACATTCATCTTAAAAATTGTCAACTAGTTTATAAATTTAAAAATCTCAATTTTGTTTATCTTTTTTTATACCAAATTCAAATTGTAATAAATTTAGAAGCTCCTTGTCTTAACCAAACATTACTGTACTTTTCATAATTGGAAAAAAAAAATCTTACTTTCCACCATAGTAGATGATAAATATGAAGATACTATACTAAAATTATGAATAAAGATAATTTTGTAAACCATCAAAATTCTAATCCAAAAAACACATTTAAAAAAGAGTTTTAAGTTTATAAACCAAAAAAGAAAAGAAAAATCAAAATTTGTAGGGGTAGGTTTTTATATTTAGAAAGATTAGAGGGGCACAATCACAAAATAGTGAAAAGTCGTTTGGCACTTTTTCCATAAAATCTCACCTACCCCTACCCCTACCCCTACCCCCAACCCCAGCTCCCAAATTAAATCTTCCCCCACCAATCAGGATCCACCGCACACCATCACCACACTCCTTCATCACTACGCACTTGGATCCCTTTTCCTTCCTTTTGCAGAAATTCTGAATCTTGATTCCCAATTCAATTTGGGATTAATTTTTTTTTTTTGGTCGATTTACCTTTTTCCGATTAAACCTCAAAAAAATGTCTAAAGTTTTTACTTTGGCCGAGGTTTCTCAGCACAACACCAACAAGGACTGCTGGCTCATCATTGATGGCAAGGTAAATTCAATTAATCACTGTTCATGTTCATATTTTTTCATCTTTTTTTTTTTCTTCTTATTTAATTTGCTGATATGTTTGTACGTAGTAGATCTTTGGAAGATCCAGTTACGATCAGTTCTTAATTGTCAATTTTGGTATCTGATGTGTGTAATTAGAGTCTTATTTTCCTTTTTCTCGATTTTTTTTTTGTTTTTGAATTATCGTGTCTGGTTGTGATTCGATCTTTGCGAGGAAGTGTGTCTGTGTGTGTGATTTTTGTGAGAATCAATATTTAGTTTGGTTGGATTAGAACAGATCTTATTATTAATTAAATATTAAAATATACGTTGAGATGTTTATGTGTTTGAATGTTATTCGAATTGGGACAATGGATTTGATTCTTGTAGGAATAAGTGTTAATGTGATTTGGTCATAATTCAAACACATATCATCAGATCTCGGCGGTACGCATCTTAGTGCGTTAAGTTACGTTCCGGAAAAAAAATAAAAATGAAGTGTTGAATGTGATGTTAGTGTGTATGATTATTTGCTTGTATTTTCGTTATTCAGTTTTCGGATGTTTGAATGTGTGCAATTTTTAATTTTTTTCGAGAAAATAAATGTTATTCTTGTGTGCATTTTTTTCGTACAAATCACGATTCTTGATGTGTTTTGTATCTCAAGAGTCTCGAGTTTTTAGTCCATTATTTGGATTACAGTGAATTTCTGACTTAATGATTTTCGTGCTATACTTTTTTCTTTCGCAAAGATACTGAAAAGTTTCCGGATTGTGATTTAATTTTTTTCCATGACTCAAATCATTGAGCATTTAACTTATAACATAATTTTGTTGTTGTCTCCGACTCTCCGGTTTCTCTTTAGTCCCACCTCTATATGTGACTATGGAACCTCGTTGAATTTTTACTTGAGTTTTTTTTATGGTAAAATGATCAAAACCAACTTTATGAAAGCTTTATAGACTTGCTTTTACATGGGCTTTGCTACTCCTACGGTTTCTTTATTAGAGAATCGGTACGGGTTTACATGCCGGCTCAAAAATTATGGGAAGAAGTGGTGAAAGAGCACTTTTAGGGTCTACGATAAACATATGTATATATGGTTAATGAATTTAATTATCGAAAGAGAAAAAAATATTTTTATGTATCGTTTCTACTTGTTGGTTCAAAAATCGAGAGATGAACTAATGGGCTTGTGAAATGTAGACTAACCTAGCTAACATTAATCGGTAAAACGAGATTATTAAGGAATAGACATTGATGCTTCCATTTTCGCTGTAGGTCTATGATGTGACGAAGTTCTTGGACGACCATCCAGGTGGCGATGAAGTATTGGTTACTGCAACAGGTACTCGCTATTTTCGAAAAATTGTCTGAATAATATAATTCAATTTACATCAATCTTTTGTTCGTTTTATATCGTTTTTTTATTTTTATTTTTTTATTTCGTTTCATTTGCAGGGAAAGATGCAACTGATGATTTCGAGGATGTTGGCCACAGTACGACTGCAAAGGCAATGCTCGACGAATACTATGTTGGAGACATAGATTCGTCGACCATTACCACGAAGACGAGTTACGTTCCTCCGAAGCAGGTCCAGCAAAACCAGGATGCACCTTCGGGATTCATCATTAAGCTCCTCCAGTTCTTAGTTCCCCTCATTATCTTGGGTTTGGCCGTTGGCTCGCGTTTCTATACCAAATCATCCGATGAAAAGTAAAACATAAAATAATTTTTAAAAAATATGAAAAAAGAAAGAGCAGTTTCTTAGTGTCGAAAAACTGCCTTCGTTACCATATAATCGACAGATGTGAGGTGTTTGAGGATGGAGTTTTTTCTTCTTTCTTGTTTTATTTATTGTACTCTTGAAGAAACCTTGTGTTGTTTTCTATTTCTTTATTTTGCATGACTAATTATTAATTATTAATTATTTAATGGATTTGGTTTTACTAGGTCTTGAAATGATCTTACTCTTCTTGTCTTCTAGTCTATAGTTTATGATTATCCTTATATGTGATGTTAATTAATGTAATTATGTCATGATCACATGTTATAATCTCAGCCAGCCATGGATGTTTTCAAAAGCTTGAGCTTAGGACTAGATTGAACCTTAAATAAAATCATCTAATGGAGTTGTAATATTTTCGAAATAATATTTTTGACATTTATATACAAAATTCAATATTGTTTGAATCAATGGCAAATTTCGGCCGACCCTGAGGTAATGTAAAATTACGAAAACATTCAGTTAAATTACAACCACCCCTCAACTATGTATTTTCTTACGAAAAAACCCCCTTTTTAGTATGTAAATTTGACACCGTAAAGATGAACATGTAAAACAATACATAGTTTCGCGATGACGGTAATTATCCAAATAGAAAGGGTCTTTTCTGTAATTTGATCTTACCTTAGGGGCTGACCGTAATTTTCCACTTGAATCAACTAAAAGTTGGAGAGATGGAACAAATAAAGTACAAATCACCCCTTCCCCCTTCAAGTGATCCAAAGATCAAATCTCCACATTAAACAATTATTTCAAAGAGTAGCAAACGAAGATACAAACATTAGTTAACCTATAAACACTTGACACGTGTCCACATGCAAACGCCATGAGACAAAACAAAACCTAACATATTTCCCTCTCTTTCAACTTCAATTAAACGAACTTCCCAAAGAAAATGCCCTCAATTATCACGCAAATATTTTGTCACATTTTGATCAAAACTAACCTATAAAAAGAACTCTTAAAAGAGTCTCATTCTCCCTCCCTTTGGCTTCTCCTTCTTCTCTCTCTTACTATCAATATTCCGAAAAACGAGAAGGAAAAAAAATGGCGATTCTGTTAAGAACTCGAAAACAAGAAAAGGGGGTTCCTACAAAGCAGAGTAGTGTAGATGTACTAAAAGTTGTGCATCCACGAGGATACATTGAAGTATTCCGCGAGCCAATCACAGCGAGCCACATCATCGAGAGGTACCCGAGGTACTGCATAACCAGGCCCGATTTCTTTGAGTTTCCGTGGATAGTTGTACATCCCGAGTCGATTCTTTTCCCGGGGAAAGTCTTCTATCTCGTACCCCACCGTACGATCCACAATCTTCTCAAATCCAAACAACAGCAGATCGTACAAAACCAATTAGATAATAATAATAAATATAATAACCATTATCAGAAATACGACAAACGAATTTCTTCTTCACCTATAAAATCATTGGCTGGAATCACTCCTAAACATAATCAACACCGAGAAAAAAACGACCGCGAATATTCTTATTGTAATAATGACTCACAGTCACAGGGACAAGATTCGGACAGTGGGAGTTTATACAAACCGTCTTTTTACAAGTTGTGGAATAAGATGCAAAGAAATCTCAACTACGAGACGAGTTACGATCAGCTGTACGATGATTCACCGCCTTATGGTGGGCGGCCCCACGTGACAAGTGGCGAACTCGTGGAGTTTCAAAGGCGTCGTAGTTCTTGTCTGAAGAGTGCTGACAGTGATCGGAATAACCTCGACTTGAAGGTGGCTTTTGCATCTCCGGTTATTACCACTTTTTGGTTGTGAGTGTCCTTCGCTCGAGAGGCCATTTTCACTTCGTTTTTTTTTCCAGGGGGTTGGAGTGACATATTTTTAGCAGGGGTTTGTTGTCGAATGCATAGTATGGTTACGGTTTTCGATACTCAGTTTTGTTTTTTGGGAATTTATTGTTAAATATATATATTATATGTACATAGTAATCGAGACCGAAAAACAAGGAGAATAAATAATAATTAAAAAAAGAACACTCATCGCTAGCAACAAAATGTACGAAAAAAACACATCGAAAAAAGTACCTATATAGATATCCTCCTCGATCATATTCTTTGCGACAGCTTCGATGGAGAAACCGACCCCCTCGAATAGCTCCGCGCAAAAACATTCAATCGAACAATCTTCTTCGAAAAAGAACTCATAAACTTCCTCGAACCAGATCTCTCCAAATTCCTCTTCATGCAAACGTGATCCTTCTCCAAATCGTTCAATCTCATCCTCATTCTCGCCAGCTCAAGCTTTAGATCTCTATTCTCTCGTCTTAGAGAAGCGTAGTTGTCTCGCGGTGACATGGCGGCACTTCTCACTCCGCCGCTGTTGATCCGCCACGACTGGTGGTGGTGCATAGGCGGCTTTTTAGGGTCTTCGTCGTCTTCTGGGTATGAAGAGAAAAGGGAGTTTTTGAGACGTAGTTGCTCGTTGTACAGGACTTGTACTATTGATTGGAGTGGGAGGCGTTCGTTTTGCGCTGCGTGCGCGCCGGCTTCTTGCGATAGTTTCTGGAAATCGATTAGTTTGCAGAGCTTTCTCTTTTCGGGTTCGGATAGTGCTTGATGTGCCTGTCAATATATGATATAATTGTCCAAATTAGTTGGTGTGTGTATATATATATATAGATGTATATAGGGGTGAAAGTCGGATGGATCGATTTTTGCCCGGGTGTTGGGTACTTACTTTGAGGTAAACATCGATAGCTCGATAAAGTCCATCGTGCACAGTGCGCGCATGCGCAGGCAAACTCTCCGCAATAGCGACAAACAAGTCGAGCTCCAAATTCGCATCGGGTGCAATTTCCGCCATGTAACTGTCCACAAGCTTACACACCTTAAACAGCGCGCTCTGCGAAGGCAAAGAAGAATCAGAATAATCACGACTACCACACTCGAAACCCCCCGAGTCTCCATCCACGTCGTCACCATCCACATCATCGCCGTCACTATCACCACCGCCATCCCTCCTGCAAAAATTCACCAAAATCCTACAAACAGTCTCCACATCGAACAATGTGTCGCCAGCCTGGCAAAACGAGGGTATTAAAAGATCGTCTAGCGTGGCTATATCCAATACCGACCCTATCCTCATCTCGAGATCGTGCCTACAAGAAACAGAGCAGTCGAGCGCAACTGCACTTCTTAACATACCGAAGAGAAAAGTTATCGGAACGGCGTTTTTTTCGATAGGGAGTAGACTAACAATCGCCTCGATAATAATAACCGCGCTCTGATCGCCCGATAATAAATTACGGGCGATCAATTTTTTCTCCGCGTAATTCACGAGCGAAGCACCGATGCTCTCGGGGCGAACACCTCTGCATTTAATTGCGGTTATGACCCTTTCGTATAAATCGATTCTAAGTATCGAAAGATCTTCGATCCACCAATCGCCTTCGGTTTTGATTTGTTTGCTCATGTGAAGTCTACCCGAGCTGCTGTACTCCAATCTTGAAAAACTCGAAGCGATTTGCTCCACGCAGGCTTTTGAGGCGATGCCATCTATGCATCGAGTGACGATTTTAAGGTTGTCCGAAAGTGGGAGTAGGGTTTGGCAGTGGTGGAGGACTTGGACGCACATTTCGAGGTTTTTGCAGACGATTGTGTTTAGGTATTCTTCGGCCCTCGAAGAGAGATTATTGTTCGAGTACTCTTCGGTCATTTCTAGATAGTCGGACACACAGCAGAGGTGTGCGACGTTTGAAGTGCTGATTTCGAAGTTGATTCCGTAGCAGAACTGGGCGGCGAGCTCGAACGATGCGGCGCCACCTGGCAGGCTGAGGAGCTCGATTCTTGATATGTCGGATTCGCGGTGTTCTGCTACCAGCTTTCTCATTCGTCCACTTCGAGAGACGAGTGGGAACTGCAAAAATTAAGTGCTGATATACTAAGGATTCTTGTACTAAACACCCTCTTAACGAGAAGTATAAATAATGTTAATTTTGTCGAAAAAAGTTCGAGAATTGCATTTACGATTCGAATTATCTTTGCCGTTTTTTCATGATTTTGTACAAAATTCGAAATGGGGAAAAAATCGAACTTAAGTAGAAGCATAGAGATGCAGAAACTGACCTTATGCAGTGAGAAAGTTGCTCCGTCTACTTCGATAATTATATCACTCGGAACATCTCGGAATACCCTATCAAAGATATCAAAACAGCAGTTAGAGAAGTCTATCATTGCGAGTTTGCAACACGAAATTCCGCTTTATTTCCGAGATTATGTGCGCGTGTGTGTGTGTGTGTGTGTGTGTGTGTGTGTGTGTGTGTGTGTGTGTGTGTGTGTGTACATCAATAAAACTACTAGATAAGTATATTAGATTGGCCACGAAACCGGATAATAATCAACAACATTAAAAAAAAAATCTCCTTCACCACTTTTTCAACACCCAATTACTAACAACTAAAACTCATAACAAGAAACGCGTATAGAATCGGCAAACGACAAACCATTCACTGCACTTCTGACGACCGCTCTTGGCCAGAGGAGGCTGCTGCTGCTGCTGATGCTGGTGTTTGTCCATCGAAAAGAAACCGAAGAATTTCCAGAGAGAAGAATCGGAAGTGTCTTTGTAAGAGAAAACACGAACGTTGAGGTAATGAAACAAATTGAAGAGAGATGTTTCTGTTGGCAGAGTTCTTTGCGCATTTTTGTCGAACAGTTGGTGCGCGCAAAATCATATACTGCAAAATTGTGTAAAAGCACTGGGTCCTCAATTTGTGGGGTCATATGTTAGAAAAACAAGATCAAATTTATTACAGTACATAATAATTCTTAATCGCGGAGTATAATTTGCCAAGATTTGTGCCCATAAAGCGGCCTCAAGAAAAAAAGAAAGGGACTCTGTTTGTATGTGGGTTTTGATTCTTCTTTCGTGAAATTTAATTTAAAAAAATAATAAAAATAAAAAAAAGTAGTGGGAAATAGGAAAAAATGAAGATCCCGTAATGGAAAAGGATAAGAGCAGAAAAAGCGCGCGAGGGAAAGGTGGTTTGTTTCTGTTGACATTTAATATTTTATTACTCTTATGTCCCCCTAAGCTAGTAAAACAAATTCCCTTTTGACCCTTCAGCTTTTCTTTTATTGTAATCCAACCCATGAAATCTTACATATGGTTTCTTTTGTCATCTAAAAAAAAAAACTTTATGATTTATTAAGTTTGAAATAAAAGAAAAGGGAGACTTATTTTTTATTTTGTTTTTTTGGACTAAAACTTAAGCAATTGTTCAAGTAATAAAAATTTAATAAATTTCCCAAAAACATAATCTCCCTGAAAAATAGAACTTAATCGGAAATTCTAATTTTTTTTTAATATGTTAGTCATAGAAAATCATCGTCACAGATTAGTGTCATTTTGGAAATAAGAACAAAATGCTCACATTACGTATAAGTCAAAGTGTTGACTCTGATACCAATTAAAATATATTTTTTTAATACAGAATAGATTGCTTCATTTGCTTGTAATCAGGCACAAAACATGAAAAGAGTCAAAACAAAAATGTAAAAAACAAGCAAACTCAATTGGGAAAATCTTGAAAATGTGGGCCAATTTTGAATTGTAATAATTATTGACCAATTAGACCTTAAGAGCAATTAAGCCATGTCTCCAACACCCAATCATTATAAAAGTAAGGGTAAATAACACTTAAAATCATCTTTGATTTGTCGTTTTTGCGCATGGCTCCCTTGTACTTTTAATATCAGCATATAAACTCCCTTGTAGTATTACACTTGGCAAATAATCATGCTCATTCGGAAGAGGGAAATTGTAAGGAGGTTACGTGTTTATATTAAAGTACAAGAAGGTTACACAATTGTATTGAAATTACAAGGGGGTAAATGCAAAAATGTCAATCCACAGGGAGTGGAGTGCTATTTACCCTAAAAGTAATTAATGGAAATGATGTTATCCTCCACTACCACCCCCTTTCCCACCCCCTTTGTCTCCTTTCATCTAAGTGAAAACAAAAAATTATCATGCTTTTGGACAATTTGGAAGACAATATTCTAGACATACATGAATGTAGGACCATATTTGATCATACTATAACAAGAATTATAATAATGTAATAAAAATTGAAAAATATTGCTATTTTTTATATCTATTTTATGGGGTGTTTTATGGATTACTAACTAGATGTTGCACTCACTAAATCATGTTTTATGTATTTTACTCAGATTTTAATATTACAAATGAGTTTGTGCTAGTTTTTTTGTTTAAATATTAAAATCTATCACAAACTTGTTCTTATTAATTTCTTATATATTTTATTTCAACAAATTTCAGAATTTATTGCATAGGTATTGAAAAAAAATTGAAAATTTTATATATAATTCCTCTTCATATTTTTGTTTTTTTGGACAAAATCGGAAATCATAATAAAAAATATGGTTCTAAAATAAAAAAAAATGTTCGGATATAATCGGCGGAATTAAAAAAAATTATTTTGATTTTCATTTGTTAACTTATGATATCAATTTTATAAGAAAAGTCAAATAACAACAAAATAGTATTACTATTTTTTTTTTAATTATAAAAGAAGTCAAATAGATGTAATAAGTTCAACCACTTGAAAACTCAGTTGTATTGTTGAACCGAAGAAAGTCTAATAATTAATCCTTCAATTAGTGGAATCATTTTTCCACAATTATGGATCGACCCATAAACTTATTGCGCTAACTAGTCATTCAATAAGGTCTAATTATTTAATTAATCACGATTTATTTCAGCAACCAAACAAAACCTTAGAATATCTTATATATAAAAGAAAGAAACGCTAGGGCAACCCTAAGAAACCCTAATGTCATATTTGTAATTTTTTTTTCAATTTTTATCAAATTTTTATCTCCTTAATATTATTTTCGAATTTTATCATATTTGTATCCCCTAAATATTATTTTAAATATTATTTTTTATTTTTATCAGATTTTTGTCTCCTAAATATTATTTTTTATTTTTATCAAATTTTTATCTCCTAAATATTATTATAAATAATATTTTTTTAATTTTATCAATTTTATATCTCCTAACTATAATTTTAAATATAATTTTCAACATATTTGTAATTTTTTTTCAATTTTTATCAAATTTTATCTCCTTAATATTATTTTTAATATTATTTTCGAATTTTATCATATTTGTATCCCCTAAATATTATTTTAAATATTATTTTTTATTTTTATCAGATTTTTGTCTCCTAAATATTATTTTTTATTTTTAGCAGATTTTTATCACCTAAATATTATTTTCAAAATTTTTCAAAGTTATATCTCCTAAATAATATTTTAAATATTTTTTTCGAGTTTTACCATGTTTTTATTAGTTTTTTATCTCCTAAATATTAATTTTTTTTTATCAGATTATTTTCTCCTAAATATTATTTTCGATTTTTATCAATTTTTATCTCCTAAATATTATTTTAAATAATAATTTTGATTTTAATCATATTTTATCTCCTAAATATTATTCTAATTATTGTTTTCATATTTTATCAACTTTTATCTCATTAACATTATTTGAAATGTTATTTTCGATTTTTATCAAAGTTTTATCTTCTAACTATTATTTTAAATTTTATTTTCGATTTTTATCTCCTAAATATTAATTTTTTATTTTTTTATCAAATTTTTATTTCCTAAATATTATTTTAAATATTATTATCGATTTTCATCAAATTCTCCTAGATATTATTTATAATAATCTGATTTTCGATTTTTACAGAAAAGGGTAAATAAATCTGATTTTCATCCCTAGCGAATTTTGTGACATCGTTTTACAGAATGTCTGCAACATTTGAATTTTATTTCTTCCCTATCTAAGGCTTCTTCTTTTGGTAACCCGACTTTAGATTTTGTTTTTTATCTTCTTCATCCTATTGACTGTGTGGCAATTAGTTTACATCTTTTTCCATCATTGCTTATAGGTAATTTCATTTTGTAAAATTATGTGTTTCATTAATTTATACCAAAGTTTTCAAATTTTATGTATAACAATTATTTCATTTTATATGTTATTGGACATGTTATTGAAATGGATGATTTGAGAGAATTAACCAAAAATGGGCGGAGCCACAAGCTATTGGAAGTCGACCTTCAAGACTTATTGTTTGTATGCGATATTTAATTTATTGTTTATATTTATTTTTGTTTCTTAATTTTCCAATTGTTAATTCCAGTGGCAAAACAGCCTTAAAATGAGGCAGTGGAGAAGGGCTTAGTTCCGATGCAAGATGTATATATGGCATTTTATGTTGTCGATAGTTTAGTTTTGATTATGTTAACTAAGTTATTAAATCTAATTACTTTTAAGCTCAACATGATAGCATAGTTGATGATTTTTTTCCTGGTTCAAATTTTCAATATCTACTGGTATTAGCTGATTCAATTCATTTGGAAAATTATTCAACAGTAAAGTTATTTCCTTTTTTTTTTGTATGTAGTATACTTAATAATGTTCCAGTATAATAGAATTTTGATGATACGATAAATCAATGGTTTGTTTATATTCTTACAACATCAAAACAATGCAATTTGTTGTCCCGTGCATTACACGGGTACAATTACTAGTTACAATAATGGCAAATGAGACCTAACCTTGGAGATAGCATAGCATAGGAATGAATATGACAACTATGAAGCATATTTGAAATGCTTTATGCCATAATTGATTTATCTCATGCGGATGAAGGCATGATTATTTTTATTCACCATGGTTTAAAGTTCTATTCTTTTCATCTTCATTTTACAAAATAACTTAGAAAGATTTATTTTCGAAATATATATATTGTGAATTGTATGCGGCAAGTTCAACCTAAAAAATATTGACAAAGAGATTCAAATTCAGGTCATTTAACTTCTTTCTTAATCTACCAACTAAACAACGCGTGCAACAACTATTGAACCAAACTTAATTATGTTGACTATCACTTCAATCATAATTTCAATCAAGGCCAAAAGAACAATTTGACAATTTAGCAAATTGTAATTGTAATTGTTAATAATGGAGACTACATTAATTTCTCTATACTTCAATCTCTCTCTCTCTCTCTCTCTCTCTCTCTCTCTCTCTCTCTCTCTCTCTCTCTCTCTCTCTCCATATGTGTGTGTAGAGAGAGAGGCTGTCTCAATCAATCTATAGCACGCCGAGGTATGTTGGAGTGTAAAGGCATGCCATGTTGTGGCTCTATCGACTATCTTTTGATGATAAAGTGAATTTTCTTTAACTTTTTTTTTTCCCTTTCTTATTTTATTGTTCTCTTTCATTTTGTTTTAATTCTTGATTATCTCTTACAAATGGTAAGCATTTTGGAGCTTATTTCTATTTTATAATAGGAAAATGACTTTTGGAGCATAATTTGACAATAAAAATAATAATTTGATTATATTTGGAGGAGATGTAAAAATACTGTAGTAGTCAAATTATGTCTAAAAATACTGAAAATAAAGTATTTCATAACAAGTTTTCGAAAAATAAAATGATTTGCCGGTTTAGCGGTTGAATCATGTTATAAAGGGTGAAAATAATTGAATTATTTGAGGATTTATTTATAAATAAATAAAATTTAACAATTATAAATTAATCTTGGAGCCTATGAGGAAATTTTTCTCTTTTTTGTCTTTGAATATACTCATTGGACATGATTGTAGTTCTTGGTGGACCTACCCAAATTATTCCTTGTGTCCTAATTTGAGTGAAATGTTACCGGTGTAATTCCGGTGGGATCGGATTTAGGTGTTTCGAAAAAAATTCTATTTTCTTTTCCGGAAGTCTATTCCAATTCCAATTCCGGAAATTTCAGAATCTAAAAACTCATTCCGATTCAAAAAAAATCAGAATTTTCGGAAATAATTTGGGAAATTTCAGAACGAAAAAAAAAAAAAAAAGATTATAAAGCCAAACTTGCAAAACACAGATTCAAAGAAAACATTTTCGAAGTTCTCCGTTAATTTTCAAATATCAAACAATCGAATGAGAACCCCACCCCAATGCAGCGAAAAGCAGCACAAACAA